GCATACTACTCTAGTAGACTGACCCTTCCTTACCTCAGGTGCATACTACTCTAGTAGACTGACCCTTCCTTACCTCAGGTGCATACTACTCTAGTTGACTGACCCTTCCTTACCTCAAGTGCATATTACTCTAGTTGACTGACCCTTCCTTACCTCAAGTGCATACTACTCTAGTTGACTGACCCTTCCTTACCTCAGGTGCATACTACTCTAGTAGACTGACCCTTCCTTACCTCAAGTGCATATTGTTGTAAGGTGGTTGCTCCTGTTATCCGTAGCAGGGAGAAGATCATCTTGAAGTGGCCGATGCACTGTGCTTCAGTACCTATGGAAATAGTGATATAGTGATATTAAGTACCAAGGGATAGTAAAAACCCTAGCACCAAAATATGCTTTTACATTTACTACGGTTTTCGATATTCTGCGAACTCAGGCATTTCAACCATTTATTTTGAAATTAGTTGGAAGCAGTCAAGAACATAAAAGGTACCGACTGATTACTTTTGTATGTTTATGAGAATATTTGAAATATATATTTGTACTGCGGTTATAATGTATCAAATTGAGCTGATCCTCACAGTATATGAAGCAACTTATGCAGCTGCAAATTGAAAGATTCAGAAAAAATTCCGAGTCTTGAACGGGATTCGAACCTGTGCCCTGGCAATTCCAGTGCCATGCTCTAACCACTGAGCTCATACGAGAGACTTCAAGGACACATTAGTTGGGTTTATCGGCCCGATAGGAGATATATATATGTGTATGAGAATATATATGAAATATATATATTTGTACTACGGTTGTAATGTATCAAATTGAGCTGATCCTTGTATGTTTATTTTTGATTGACGGCAGCGAAAAACCAAATTTCAGGGTCAGTGCAGCTTATAACTACCGAATTCGCAGAATATCTTAAACCGCATTTATGGCAATGGCGACGGTTTGTAATGAACTAGTATTTGATGTTTGTTTTTTATTGTAAATTGTTGCTGCTGCAAGAAGACACAGCTACTGTAGTTGTTGCTATTGTTACTGCAAGAAGACACAGCTACTGTAGTTGTTGCTAT